TAATAATAATAATAATAATAATAAGTAAAATAAATAAATAAATACTCGCATGCATGTTCCAAACCAAAATTCGGGTACGCATAATTTGGTGTGGTCCGGGTTGAAAAGACTTGCATTAATGTTCGTGTTACTTAAATTCAAATTTAAAAAATAAAAACATATATAATAATGAAATTTTATCAGTATGTGTCTCAAAAGATGATTTAACTATAGTTTAAAATATATTAATTCGAGATTTAAAATAGTCAATAATCAATGGGTTTGAAAGATTAAAATTATTGATTAGGGATCTGTAAATTGTATCTGTTTGGGACTTAAAACACGGTAATTAAAAAATTTAAATAAAAACGTGTGAAGAAAAAAATTAAAGATATATGATATTGGTAAATTTTGATATGCCACATCAATTATTCAAATATAAAGTTCTATAAATAAGAGATGTTGAGTTCTAAATAAATGAAAAAATGAATAAATAGATGAGATGAAAAGCATTGTCAATTTATGCTCTCCAATCACATGCGGCCCAAAATAACATCGTAGCACAAATTGAATGACTTTTCTTCATTTATTTTTTACTTATTTTATATTTAATTGATTGTTATTTATCTTCTTGATGGTCTTGGCATCACTTGTAAACAAAAATTAATTATGTTAATATTTAAGAGCGTGTGTTGGTTTGAAATATGACCTTATTAGACTTTTAAAACTTTGAGTCATTCTAATAAATTAGTATGTGGCCCGTGCGATGCACTGAAAAATTGTATCACGATTGTGTTATAAATTAAACATACAATTAATCAAAATTTAGCCATCGTTTTTAAATTAAACCGTGTTGGACGCCGTCCGACCGGATAGACCGAGAACCGGTTTATAACCAGTCTAGTTATGTTGAATAAAACATTTACTATTGAATTTGTCAACACCAACCGGTTGAACTGGTAAGATCGATACAATTTTTTAAATAAATTTTGCTACATTTACAAAATATTTTAAATAAAATTACATATTTAAGTAAAATAGAGATTTATAAATTGTTTATCAATTAGTTTAAACATTTAAATTGTTAAATTATTTAGATATTTAAGTAACACATTTTATTTGAATTTATTACAAAAAGTATTAAATATATAAATATATATATTAAAGTGTATTTTTAAAGAGAAAAGTCAAAATTTGTATTATTTTTTAAATTAAATTGTATGGCTTAATTGTATGATTATATTAAAGCGTATTTATAAATTAAATTGTATGATTTTTAAAGAAAAAAATAAAAAAATAATAAAACTTATTATTTATGGGCTGCATTAAATTCTAACCTATTTTTTACTACTATTTTTAATAAATAAGTTATCTCTATATATTTATCTATATATAAAAAGGTTGTTGGTTAAATCATTTTTAGAAACTTTTGACAAAAAAATAACACTTTTGACATATAGAAAGCTCGAAAAAATAAAAAAGCTCCAATTTTAATATCTCATTTTGAATTCAAAAAATTTTAGTTTATAGAGATAAGCATATACGAATTTAATATCACATTTTTAATTCAAAAATTTATGGTGTAGAGAGATTATAGGAATGTGTGGATAACTCACCTAAAAGAGATAACTATGTTCATTATTTTTTAATTAATCTCTTATTTTGATTTAATGTTATCAAATGTAATCACATGCTCATTATACAATATTCTATTCAATTTGGTTTCCTATATAAATGCTATTGGATAAATAACAATTTAAATAGTACAATACAATAACATAAATAACAATTTAAATACTACAATACAAATACATGTTTTAATCGGATCCATACAAACATAAAAACCTCATAACATAAAACTTAAATTCCATTCCACTAAAAAATACATTATTATACAACTTTGATCAATAAATGAATTAATAAGCCATTGGATAGATAACAATTTAAATAATACAATACAATTACATGAATAACAATTGAATACTACAATACAAATACATGTTTTAATCTAACCTAACAAACATAATAACCTCATAAAATAAAACTTAAATTCCATGCCACTTAGAAAATACATTATTATACAATTTTGATCAATAAATAAATTAATAAATAATATATTAATCTGTTAATACTAATCATCCAACTGATTAGGACTTATCTTCTCATCATATTATTCAAACTTCTATTTTAAGGCTATCAATTAT